TTTTTTTTTTTTTTTTTTTTTCCTTTAGGGTCTTCTGACCTGGCATGGAAAAACATTATTGTGAAATAATATATAAATTTCAATGGTATCATAATAACTTCTACTGTGATGTAGGAATTACTCTTTGTAGTGACTGCCATCCTTAATGTGTGAAATATTTCATGAATACCTTGAATGAAATAGTCTGAGTGTATGTCAGGATATAGACACCTCCATTGCTCTGAATTTAAAAGATATGTCAGGGGAAAGAAAAAGATTAAAGTTTTGTGAATATTTTAAAAAAGAAATTTGGGTCATCCTGCACAAATGTTGAATATTTATTTTTATTTTTTTCAGATAGCAGAGCACTGTGGTCACCCCTGCGGGAGGAACACCTCTCTGCCCTTCACCACTCTTCTTTGTCCTGCGTCTCATCAGAGGGGTCAAAAATTCAGTAGGGAAGAGGAGCGCTCGCTATACCAATGCGTAAGTGCTATACATACTCCTGACAAGCTGCTGCTTCTCTTACCTTCTCCCCACTCTCTCCTGAAACAACAAAAAAGGCAGTGTGTTCCCAGAGCCGGGGATGGTGTGGTCAGGACTGATGGGGACAGGTCCTTCAGCCCAGGGATGGGCAGGACAGCCAGGACAGGGCAGCAGGGACTGGGGGCATCATCAGGAGGAGCTGTGCAAGCCCTAGGTGGGATGCCCAGCTCCTGTCCTCCCAGGCACAAGCAGTGACCCCTTTCAGTGCCTTCCCTGCCCATCCCGCTTTAGAAGAGTGGGGTTATAAATAGCCAACTGCAGTTTAAGGCTGAGTTTTTCAGTACTGCTAAACCATAGAGGTCCCTGAACATTCTGGCAAAAACGGTTGTGGGCTGGGGGTTGGGATGGAGGATAGTTGATGCCAAACATCTCTAGAAGCTACTGCATTTCCTTATGGAGAACTGAGGTGTGATCATTCTCTGCTATAGGATAACCTAAGGCTCCTGTCTCTAGCCAACAGAAATTCCCAGCAGGAACAGGGCAGCTTTTCCTAAGTGCTGATTTTATGTCACCAAATGAAGAAGCATTATTTGTGCATCTCCCCTCTCTGGCTGGCCAGTGCCAGACACCGGCAGAGCTTGGGAGCAGCCCAGGGCAGATCCCCCCGGCCAGCCAGCCCGGCTGCACCCCTGTTTGCTGTCAGGATAAACGAGTTTGCAGCTGTTGTTATAGAGATAAATTAGGACCAAAGGTTGGTTTTAAACACTTTTTTTTTTCTTGTTTTTGCAAGAGAAACAGAAGAGCTAATGGAGGAAACGCATTCCTTACAGCATTAATAATGTAGCTGATGTGCCTATTGCTAGGGTAAATGTTGTTGGTGATTAAATAGAGACTGGTGATAAATCACTAATAAGGATAAATGTTCATCCAAGACAAATTGTGAGCCAAGCCCTCTTTTTCTTGCTGTGCAGTCCAGGCATCCGAACAGCTTTGCTGAGTACTCAGGGACAATTGCAGAGCAGAAATGAAGCTTGGAGGCTGCAGAAAGAATCTTTTTTTATTGCTGTTATTATTCCCAAAAATGCCTCTACAGCCATGTCTGCAATGCCAACTGAAAGGAGAACCAGGAATCCATCTGTAGTCCTGGGGGCCATGAGCACACCCCCATTGCTCAGGGGTTGCCCCTGCTTATGGCACAAAGTAGAGCTTGGGGATAAAGCCAGCAGCTGAGCCTTGTCCCTCTTTGCCATAGCAGTGCCCTTACTGCTACCAGCCATTGGCATAACTGCTGAGAGCCACGGCAGGTAATCGGACAGGGAACACAGAGCATAAATAGTGAATTTTCTTTAAGGAAAGTGAGGGCACCTGAAGAGCCTCTCTGTGGGTTAAAGAGAGCAGCCCCAGGCTGCAACGAGCTTGGAGATGGCAGGGAGGGTCTGGAGGCTCCCAAACAGCTAAACAGGCCTCCACCACAGGAGGGATCACAGTGGGGAATGCACTGGTCTGAGTTTATCATGCCGTATCTGGGCCAGATTGGCAACCATTCTAAGTGTTTCCACTTTCCTGCGTGGGGACTTGCTTGGATGAGGCTGGGTAACATGGCAAGAGGGAAAGGGGTTGGACGAGCAGTGCAGATCTGTGATGAGAACAAGAGAGAGATGGAAAAATGTGGGCCAAGGGAGATTGTTGCATTGCTGCTGCTTTCAAACATAAAACGTTGAGAAAGTCCCTTTTAAGAAGTCTTCTTGCCATTCACTTTGGTGCTCTTTGTAGCTGTCTTTTATAGATGGCACCACAACAAGCAGAGAAAGGTCATCTTAGAAAGAAAAATTGCCACGTTGAGGCCATTTTGAAAGAGCCAGGGTGACAGCTGGTGGTCACAGTGTGAGTTACTGCACCCCAGCTGTGACAGCTGTGGTCTCTTCCCTGGGTGATGGTGCCCCAGGTTCACTGTGCTCCTGCTCTGAAGCTCATCCTTCATTATACTTCACTGAGTGGTGGAATAAGGGCCGACTCCAAGGCTGGTGGCCACCTCTAGCTAGCCCGGTGTTCCAAGCCTTTTTGTGCCTGTTCAGAGGAGGGCTGTGTGTTCACAAAGACACTGGTTGTGGGAATCCCCACATTCACATATTCAGCCTTAGTCTGGAGTTTTCAAAACATCAGACTCATAACATCCACAGTTTGGGCTTTTAAATTTCAAGGCTTTTCTTGGAGGTGGTGAGGTTTTATTTTCCCCCTTTGCTTTATCTCCCTTTCTCTCCCACAATGCGTTCGTTTACAGGTGATGACTGCCTGAATGACAGGGGGCACCCAGGGAAGGTCCCTCAGGCTTTGAAGGTCTCCCTGGCACATAGGTATAAGCAATTCTGGCATGTACTGAATGAATCATCTCTGTGCTAGTGATGCTTTGATGAGGCCTCTCTAGCCTTTTCCTTTTCTCCCTCTGGAGAAAGAATAGGATCTGCTTGTTAGAAAGACTTTGATGGCATATACTGTCAGCACTTTGAATTAGGGAGCTGTATTGCACAGGATTTTCTTGGCATGAATGGATAGCCTTTATTCCTCAAGCGAATTTACTTTACTTCCACTTGAATTCAATATGGTATTTTATTAGCTGCGCCGTTGGACAGTTTTCACCAATCTGGTTTTTGTTTGTTTTGCTTTGAAGCAGCTGTTTGTGATACTGATCCAAGGGGAGGTACCAACAGTTCCCCGTTTCATCCTCCCATTCATAATGGCATCAGTAGTTGCTGGTTACGTATTAACAAATTAACATGAGTCTTAAAGGCGTCATAGTCACTTCTTGGGGATTGGATGTTTTATAATAACTTCCTATTTCACTTGCAGAGTAAGTTTGTCTTTTTCCTGGTCAGTATTCACATGTCCTTACCATTTTCAAAGCAACGGTATAAGTGCAGTCGGCGGTGAGGACAGAGTGCTGGCTGGGCAGCCCAGTGATGAGTGCCTTAGGAGAAGACCAGACGCATGATTCATCAGCTAGCAAAATGTCAGGTGGGTGGAAGAGTGATTGATGGTACAAGATAAATGTGCATGAGAGCAGGATGCACAGGGATTTGTGTCAGGATTGGCTTCAACCCTTGCTTTTGATTTGTCTGTGCCAGGTACAGCAGCAAGAGCTCCCCAGCTCCCTTCCACTCTTCCCATTGCTCAAGCCAAACCGAATCAAGTATCCCTCCACCTCCCCCCTTAGCTCCCACAGTGAGGAAGAGTCAATACAGCGAAGATGCTGAGGTGCACACCGAGTGCCTGGTCAGCAGGCACCATGTGTAACCAGGGAGGATCCATGGGAGGGGAGACATGGTATCGTGCACCCAGGCTGTGCTGTGCTCCCTTGTACTGCAGGGGTGAGGGAGGGAGGGCAGGGTTGTTAAGACTTGGGAAAGGCATCACTAAGTGGTAATGAAAATCTTAGTGTTATGGCTGAAGAATATTTTTACTGTGGCTGTTGGGATAAGATGAATGATGCCACTGGCCCGTACCCGGGGACAAACCCCTGAGCAGTGTGATGCTGCTGCACAGGGAGGGCTCACCAGGGCATGGGAGCATTTGCTGCTCCAGGTGCATCAGCAGCCATCTGAATGGAGCTTGTAGAGGGAGAGAATTCTTCGTCTGCCACAGCTAAAGATCAGTCCCTAAAATGGAGTAAGACACACAGGTAGAAGGTCATCCTGGTAGACCTTCTGCTCCCAAGGGAGGGGGGCTAAGATCCCACAGTGCTGCCGCTCAAGTGCGCAGCAAGGGGACAAAATCAACTGTTTGGGTTTTTTTAATTTGAATGAAATTAAGAGCACTGTAAATAACACCACTTGTGTTCATCACGAGCCTGAGATCTGTCCACTTAAATTAATCCTGTAGGTTTTGCTATGCAGGTTTTGTCCTGAACTGTGCTGCAAAACTCTGTTTGCTTGGCTGGGACTCTTCCTTGTGAAACTGCTTTATTTCTGTAATCCTGATGTTCCTTCTCCTGGCTGGAAATGAGAGAGCGTAATCTGTCCCCTGATTGTCAAAAGATCAGGCAGCTGTGCCTGAGCTTTTGAAGTTTTTCCTGATATTTCCTAGCTCATTTTCACTTAGCATTGCACATGCATAGCCTGGAGCACTGGCAGACTGCTGGACGTATGAGTGGGGGCCTCTCAACCAGGAGAATTAAATCACTGAGCAACTTCAGTGTGCAACAGCAGCCACGGTCACACAGGTACTCACCACCCGTGTCATGTCTGTGCCTTAGCAGTGAGTGGGGGGCTGCTGGCACTGAGGGTGAGGGGGAAAAGCACTGGGGTCCAGCCGGGAAAGGGCACTGGGAGCTGCTGCTCCGTAAATTCAGGGGCAGACAGAGGCTTTGGAGAGCAGCGGAGGCGGCGTCAGCTGCCTGTGGTGGGTGGGAGGCAAACCTCCCCTCCACACAGCCCCGCAACGTCGAACGATGCTCTCCCATGGCACTGGCTTCCCAAGGGACCGCTTCCAAAAAAAGCCAGATGCCTGGGTGATGTGCTAGCTTTTTCCACTCTCTTGGCCGTTCCTCTGGAAGCACGTGAGGCAGCAACTCTCTGCTGCAGAGCACAAGCACCGGGTGACAACCTCCAAATCACGGCTCGACGCGGAGAATCCAGCCAGCCCAGGGAACTCAACAATTGGTGGGTTGATCTGGTATTTGATGAAAGAATACTTATGTTCTGTGCTAGGTCTGCAAAGGAAGGAGAGAAAAATAATTAAGGTCTTCCTGCAGTAGTACCTGTGGATCCAGGGAAATTGAGCTGTATGTAAATGAAATTATAATTTTGAATTTGGCCCTTTGGTACTAGTTAAGAAGCTTTTTAAATAATTCTGCTCTTCCTTCACTTCTCCCCCCCCTTGCCCCCAGAATGGATTAGTGTTGTGCAGCTCAACTAATCTCAGTTTTGGGAGTAAGACAGTTTTCCTGGTTTAGTGATTGCTGTGGGGTGGTAGGGGATTCAAGACAGGAGATGTAGAACCCTAGTTTTGTGGGTAGATTGAAAACCACTACTTTTTTTAGCATCTAATTTGACATACAAAATCTTACGTGTAAATGCTGATCAGGGCAGATGCTGTTTAGGTCTTGTGGAAATTTTCATCCAGAGGTGTCAAGATGCTTTCCCGAGGAGCCTGTGCAATCTCCACTTGACATACACGTACACCGAGGCGCTGAGGCAGAGTGACTTGCCCAAAGTGTCCAGCACACCCCAAACAGAACAGGCAGCACCACATTTGGGCATTTTGTGCCTATTTTCCAGGACGTAGTGCCTCTGAAATACGTTTCAGGCATGTCATAGATGCAAGGTTGACCTCTTCTTTGTTAGTTTGTGCCAAGAAGAAACACACTGAAACAATTCAGAGCATTCAAAAGTCAGATTTAGAATGTGTGAGTGCAGGGCTAATTAATTTCTTCTTATTAGAAGGTCAGTTTATGTAATAGGTTTTTTTCCTTTAAATAAGCAGAAACCGTGTTGTGTTTTGTATTAATGTGCTTATAAATAATAGTACTGTGGTGCTGTGATATTTTTTAGAGTGCAGGGAAGGGGTACACAAACTAGTGAACAGTAACACTAAATGCAGTTGTTGCTGGCAGAGATAAGATCATCCAGGTTTGGGAATGCAGAGGAATGAAACATGGAACAGTGAAGATTTACCCACCCTGGAGGAGGCTCAGGTGAGGCATTTAACCAAACCGGGCATACACACACCCTTGGGCCCTACGGGACGTACCCGTGAGTGGTGAGGGGGCTGCTTGTTGTGATTGCAGGGCCACTCAATAATATTTGGGCAGTCGTGGCAGAGGATCCTGGGGGCTGGAAGAAAGCAAATGTCATTGGCACCTTCAGAAGGGCAAGGAGAGGCATGCAGGGAACTACAGACTGGTTTGTCTCACCTTGATCCCTGAGAAGGGGATGGAACAACTTACACTGGAAACTGTTTCTGAACATACTAAAGACAAAAAGAGTGATTGGGGGTAGTCAGCGTAGATTTATGAAGGGGAAATCATGCGTAAACTTCCTGAAAGACGCCTACAACAAAATTATTTGCTTGGTGGACAAGGGGAGAACAATGGGTGATACCACCTTGACTTCAGGAAGGCTTTCAGCACTGTCTCCTATAACATCCTCATGGACTAACTGATGACTACGGGTCCTACTGCAATTGTCCCTTAATTTGTCTGAAAGCATGTAACAGTGCAGTTCTTTGTTTATTTGGAAAAAAGACCTGAATTTCTTTGCTGAACTAGGTGTTCTTACTTTATGTGATTGAGGTCTTTGCCTTACTCTTTTGCCTTGTAAAGTCACCACTTGCATTGTATGTTACAAACAATGAGTTTGTTTCATTTGTGTAACCAGTTTTTGTTACCAGTTCTATGCTGTACAAACAAATCTCCCTGGACTTTAGAAAACTGTACACAAAATTGCAACACTCAAACGAGCTGTTAATTTCCAACCCCCAGAATACTTTGACTCTTCCATTACCCAGCAAGTGGTCTCAGTCATAAAGGTGTGATCACACCTTGCTTTGAGCATGGGAATTTACAAGCCCAGCTCAGATGCCCACCAGAAGGGCATCCTTACAAACCAGAAGGGTTTGTGCCTCCTGCTACAGGGAGCAAAGAGATGCCTGAGCTGTGCCACAGGAAACACTAAGAGAGCTGGCTGCCTCCCGCCCTTGTCCCACACTAACCTGCTCCTGGGGAGGCTCCTGGGAAGATTTGTAGCAGAAGAACTGTCCTGCACTCCTCTGGTCAAACATCCCTTTAGACACAGCCAGACAGGTTGCTCAACTTCATCCAAAACTCTTGATGGTCGCAGGCAGGATGCCTCCTCTGAAATTCACTCTTCTGCGGTAGCTGGTGGTAGCCTCTGACGTCCAGCAAGATGCTTTGCCCATGTTTTACCATGGACTATAATGTCATAATTAAGGTGCTCCCCTGGGAAGTAGCTGCTACAGGTTTGTCCCCCCTCAGCTTCAGGAGAACTGAACCCAGGTTCCCCAGTGACAAGGGAAGGGCTTATTTCCCAGGTGGGAGGTTAGCACTGCTCCTTGGGGTCCCCCTCACTCTCCCCAAACCAGCAGAAAGCTCAGTTAATATGGCTAATTTGACAGAGGAAGCATTTCTGCTTCGGACTTCAGAGTTGCTGAAAGAGTTTAATTCCCAAAGGAGGCATTTTAAGGCCAAATTCTCCTTTTGTTTACACAGGCTGCCATCAGTGATGAGCTTTGTGAAGGTCAAGGCAAAGTTTAGCCAATGACTTGGGGTTCATTTTTTTTTTCTAAAGGATCAGCTTTGTATTTATTCTTACATTCTCAGTATATTTTGGAATCGGGCTGCTTAGTTTTAAGCTGCCTGGGATCCCCACGCTGCCGGCTGCGGTCTCGGCCATTTGGGGTAGTTTGTGTGCTGACCTTCATGGCCACTGCAGCAGCACTTTGGGGGAGATCTGGGACGTTTCGAAAACACCAGCACTTTGAGAAAACAATTTTCTTTTTAAATTGCTGAAAATCTAGATGTTCGCAGCTCCCTTCACCTCCAAGACACAAATGGATGTCTGGCCATGGCTTTTGTTTAAATGACTTGCAAACCAGCCCGTGCTGGGCTGTTCCCAGCAGCCGGGAGGTCGTTTCCCTGCCCTGTTGCCTGGTTTCTCCCACACAGACCATTTGGGCTGGCTCGGGACACGCAGCCACCCTGGCAGGCTCTGAGGCTGCCCCTGGCCGGGAGCAGCAGGACAGACTCACTCACTGGCTCCTCGTGGTGGCAATTAATTTTTTTATGAATGAGGGTGAGGGAGTGTTAGAAACAGATTGATGATAATCGGCTTCTAATTAAAATGTTGGAACCATAATTTAAACTAAAAATATCCTATTACTTATCTCCTCTATTTCATGGGCACTAAGGCAGCAAGTGATAATGTAGCTAATGATCTGATTGTCAGCAGCTTGTATAATGCAGCGTGTCTGGGGGCTGATCTGATTGTGCCATCAATCCAACCTCCCTGCAGTGCTCCCTCCTTCAGCAGAGCTCTCTGCAAGGCGGGGGGGATGACACCTGCACCAGCTCAGCTCCCCACCAGGTGCAACCTTTTTTTCCTCTCCCCAAAGCAATGAGCTCCCATGAGGGGGGGCAAACACTAAGTCAGTCCCAAACGGCTGAAATTTGATGATCTTGTTATAATACTTTGGGGGTGATTTTCCTGGGAGGTGGCTGTTTCGTGGCTTTGAGCTGCCAGTAAATCATATTTATCGTAACAGAGTTACTGACCAAAGAAGCGTCCAGGAACTGAGTCCGGCCACGCCAGCTCTGATGTGAAAAGGACAACATGGAGCTGCCTGGATTAATGGGAGGGTGAGGGCCAGAAGCATCCCCCAGCACAGCTGAGCCTGCAGAGGAGAAACCTCCATTTGAAAATGCCATGGGAGCTTTCAAGTGGCTGAACTGACTGAAGAGCCAAGGGTTGCGCTCAAGGCTGACCACGAGGATGCCCAACTGGGGCTTTCAAGGGCTGGAGGTGGGGTCTAAGTGTCAGATGGTCTCCACCAGCCCATCCTGCCCCACTGCATGGCTGCCCCACAGCCCCAGGCTTGCCCCAGGCACCAGTGTTGCTTTCGAGCCACCATAAAACACCAGGCTGAAATGCACCAGCACAAGAGCACCCTGATGTACAGCTCAAGGAGAAAGATGGATCATGTGAAAAAGTTTCCATCGTCACTCACTTTGATCAGAGTTCCCTCCCTCCCTGTTGCTGGATCCCCCCCGGCGTTAAGTGACAATAAATTAAGCATCATCCGACTTAACCATTACAAGATAAAAAACAGCAGAAGGTTAGAAAAAAGCATCAGTCCATTAAATGCCATTGACCAAATGACCTTTAGAAAGGTCTGCTCCCATAAGCGGCCAGGTCTACACAGACAGCGAGGTCCTTCCTCCCTGTCCTCCCCCAGCCCCAGCCCCAGATGAACCACATCCAATCCCTACACTTAGAAACACAAACTCAAACTAAAACATCTGAAAGTGACCGCAGAGTCCTGCAAAATAATGTGGTAAATTAATGAAAATGGGTATGATTAGAGAGAGTGTAATGAGTCCTTGCTCCAATTACTGCATTAGCGTCAAGATCTCAGCCAAACTGATTTCTGCAATGCGCCTGCTCCACAATATGGGCATCATAAATACCAGCCAGGAAAAAACCAACAGCAATTAATTTGTCATCAGACAATCAATTAAAAAAAATATTTTAACCCGTTCAAATGTAGTGATTAAAGAGTTTTATCTTTTTCCCCTGATATAGGAAATCATTACAACTGATCGTACAAGGAACTGCTGTCTCCTCAGAGAAGGCGGTCAGTCGCGGATTCTGCAGATTCTGACCTACTCTCTGCTGGCTCTATATGACTGTCCTGGGAACAGGTAAAAGCCTCATTTGGCTTCACAGGCTGCCCCTTCCTCCCTGTGCCAAGGCAGGAGGGACAAGGTCTACGTTTTCTGTGACTAAAGCAAGAGGCTGCAGCGCCTGTGCCTCAGCTCACCCAGACCCTCAAGGAGCTGGACCTCTTGCTGGAAAGGGCAAGTTGTCTTCTTCAGAAACCAGGGAAATCTGGCCTCTGTCTCAGCCCACACGGGAGCACCGTGAGCAGTTTTGTGGCCGCAAGGCCAGGGGCTGGCTCCTGACCCCCCTGAGGCAGAGCCCAGCCCTGGGAGCCGGGGCAGTGGGCAACCGGCCCCACGTGGGGCTGGGCCCTCTCCCTGGCAGTGGGGCTCTGAAACACCCTCCAGTTTGGTGCCTGGGGCAAACACAAAGCTCAAGACAACTTGTTTGGTCTAGGAGAGATTTTTGGCATCTCCCTGGCAGCCAGAGACTACTCACATTCTCAGTTCTTAATGTAGGGGAGATGAGCTTTTCGGATACTAAATTCTACTCAGTTGGCCCTTGAGGAGAAGTTTTCAGTCAGGAAACTCTCTCACTACAACAACCTTCAGCGTTACAATTCACTCTCTCAGCAGCTGATACCAACCAGAGCTCGACAACAGCTTCCTTTCGTCTTCCTCCAGGCCAATGCTTTTGCAGGTACACAGACCAGTAAATCAGTTTTCGGGTCTATTAATACCCAGGGGCTGCATTCTGCGGGAGAGGGGCCAAACGGCTCCTGAGAGACGCCTCGAAGCATTAGCTGCGCCTATCGGGTTCCCCACAACCCCAGCAGCCTTCAAATCCCCCTCTCCCTGCCTTCCCCCCCCTCCCGAAACCAAGACCCGCAGCACCAAGGCAAGGAGGAGAAGAGCAGCAGCTGCCCCCGCCGGGCACGAAGCAGGAAGAGAAACGCGCACACACACCAAGATGATGTAATTAAACATCCTCCTTCCCTCGCCGCTTGGAAATTCTCCAAGTATACCCAACCCCTTCAATTTACAAAACAAACGACCCAGTGTCGTTAGCACAGCCTGCAGAATTGCTTAATTTGCATAATGCAGGCAATCTACTGCAGATTTAGCTGTTGCAAGTTGTCCTCACTCAGGACGCTGCGGTGTAAGGTGCAGCGCTATTGTTTAAGGTGTGGTTTTTATCCACATTTGGAGCTGTATTTTGTTGGTGGGATAAAGGCAACAGAACATTTTCTACCACTACTATTGTTAGCAGTGCTTTAATCACGGTACTTTGAAACCTAAACCTGACTTCGAGCAGCTCACAAAAGGTCACCCTCAGAAATCTTATGGAAAGTTGGCATCCGCGCAGCCCTTTACATACATTTACACACAGGGCACAGAACGTTTTTAATTGAGTTAGAAGCCCATCATTCAACGTTCAGTCACAAGGCTGGAGAAAGGCAAGTGATCTCTACCATATATAATGCATTAGCTAATTAAAGTGAATTTCCCAGTGTCTTTGAAAAGAGGAGGCAGCATAACTGCGGTGCTGCACAGGAGGCAGCACAGAGGGGGACAGGGGGACACCACGCTACACACTGAGCTCACTCCGCACTCGATGCTCCCAACGGGATCTGAGATTTCTCAGAGGGACCTGTCAGAGAAGTGACCAGTTTTGGGTGACCCCCACTTCCCTCAGCACTTGTGAGAACTCCTGTTACATTGACTAAAATCCTTAACCTTGAACTTTTCCTGAGGCTGCACTAAGATGACACAGCAGAGAAGTCAGCGTTGCTCGGATTATACTGACCTGAAGCATTGCATGTAGCAGGGATTCCTCACTCAGTCTGACCAGCCATCCACTTGGGCTTCCTAACTGAAAAATAGTAATTCAAACCACACATCCTTTCCGATGCCCAGTTTTCTCCATGGTACCACACCTACTACTGGGTTTGTTTCACCATCCAATTTTCTTTTTTTGCCCTGTGTGACTGGCTTTGGGGCAACAACATGTTCCAAAGCTGATGAATCTTTCAGCATCTTCAAAACATGCTGTCATAACACTTCTGCCTTCTGTTTTATGCCAACTTAGTCATTTAAATAAGTCTTACCTGTGATTTCTCCAATCAGCATCCAAGATGGACAACAGCAGCACCTGCTTAAAACAGCAGCAGGGACTTTACAAGGAACTCTGCTCTGAAATATTTTCATTACACTGATAAAATATTTTTGCTACGGAGGTCTTGGTTTGTTTTTTTGTTGTTCTGTTCTTGTTTTCAAACTAATGCCAGGAAGGGAGCTCAGTCAGCTGGTGTTCATGCAGAACTACAGACCCCTGAAGGGAAGCTGGGGGTGGACGTTGAGAAGATCTTTCACGATTCCTTTCTTGTCTCCCGCCCTTGGTCCAGCTCCCGCCTTGGTCACTTCTGTCACGTGCCAGATGTTGGACAAATGAGAAGAATGAAGAAATCACTTTTGTAACAAAATTTATTTTTGCTCTGTGGATACAAATCCCAAACATCAACAAACAAATTCCAGTGGAAAAATACCAGTCATTAACAATGAAAACTTTTATTATTATTTAATAAATAGAACTTTGGCATTCAAAATTCTAGCTGTAAACCCTACTTTAAAAAAAATTACAAAAAGAGGCAAGAACAACAAGCCTAAAGCTGAGCCAGCCAGTGGCTCCTTTACTTTTTACAATGAACACATTGTGATTAAGTCATGACAACTCTATTTACATATGAGGTATTCTGAGCGGTTCAAAAATTGAACCCAATTTACAAAACTACCAGTCTTCCGGGACTGATCCAGTACATATGTCAGCTGTGCTTTTAAAAGATAGCTCCAGACACTCCTCCCCACTCAACTAATGATATACTGTAATTAATATACACAAAAGAAACACATTATGATTTTAATTTCCTGTTCACGCTTCATATTCAAAAAAGCTGCACACTACGACCAGCCCAACATTCAAAGTGTACGCCTAGTACCTGGTTTAAGTACTTCTGTTTCTAGACATTATGCAGAGTTCTTACTACAAAAGCTTATAAACAAAATATCGGCAGGTAAGAGGAAAACAAGGTGCAGTCGTCAGCATCCTAACAACTTATCTAAAGTTCAAGGGGAATATACGCTTACTTCAGGCAAAAAAAGGCACAAAGGTATGCAGCTGTGGAATTAATATTGCTAATGAGCTACCAGAATAAATCATCCCTATAGATAATAACCATTGATTTGTTTGCAGTCTAAGAATGCAGATTGGTTCAGAATTTTTCCCCACTCATGACAGAACTAGTCACACCAATGAGAAGAGCCCAGTTATACCTCCCAACTTCACCTGCATAACTTCATTGATAAGGACAAGGAAAACCGGAGCAAACTACGTCCACACGGAGAGACTGCAGCAGGTCGGGGAGGAAGGGCTTTGCTTTCTTTCTTCCCTTGTGCTATTACCCTGCAAGAAAAAAGTCCAAAAAACCGTTTGAAACAAAAGGCGGGCAGCCAGGGCAAAGGAAGGAGGGGAACCTTTTCCAGTGAAAAGGACGACATTTCAGCTCTTGCAATGACTTCACGGCCACCGGCAGTTTCGAATGCTGGAGCCCGAGTGGGTGGTTACACCACTCTCCACAATTTCACACAACTGTCACACTACAAAGATGCACAGCGGAGGCGAGCAACCTAAATCACATTTACACAACTGAGCTGCGTTACTTCTATATAGTAAATACATAGCATCACCTATAGCTTGTCCGAAGACAGTTACTTTCCAAGTCTTTTTCAAAATACATTCTTGAATACAGTAGTTACTGTAAATATCTTCTAAAGGATTGTATAAATTCAATCTGAAACTATACAAAAAATTACTGTACAAATTTGCTGCCAGCCAGAACAGTACAGCATCCATTCCTTAGCGGTTGTTTTTCAGCCCTTGAGATTGTCTAACAGCTACAGCAACAAGTTGTCATGACTAAATCTAAGCAATTCCAATGTTAACATTCATTAATCAACTCTGTATTAAATATGCTGAATGAGACCACACACACTACATTTTAACCAATTAAACAATCATGCATATCTTAGACAAAGCTTATTCCATTTAGAGGCATCCGTAAACTGATGCATATATAGTAATTGCTACTACTACAACAGGCCAAATTTTAACAAATCAAAGCAAAATACTGTATCACTGCAGATAGTCAATTGGTAGTCTGCATCTTTGGCTCATACATCCATCATTTACCTCCCTACTTTAACTTGACTGAGGCAGATAAACTCAGGGGTTTTTAAAATCAAGTGCTTTAAAGTCAACATAAATATTACAGGTTCTGTAATAAAAATATTACAATGCAAGATTACAGCACTCACTGCAATCAAAGTATTACAAATAAAATGGGACCTCCTTCCTGAGGGACTTTCAACTAATACTTGAAAAGCATAGAAGCTTCTGAAGTGCTTTGCAAATATCAATTACTGATCTCAGCTCTGCAGTACAGTATCACCATTTAACAGGAGGGACAGCCAAGTGACCAGCTTAATAGTTTGAAGTGACTCAAAAAATCTGCTCCTCTCCAACTGCTCTATTAAACTCCTTGCTATTTCCACCAAATTCAGAAAATGTGTTGCTTGGAAATTTTTTATAGGTGCAACATTTTCGTCTCAGGAAATAATAACGTACAACTTAGGTGTTTCCCCTCTCCCTAATACTTTTGGTTTATTACCTGAAACGCTATTGTTGAATTCTGATACGAGACAGATGCCATAAACTGGAGACTGTGACTTCACTGCAGGGCCAAAGCCAACGAACTACTCAAAGGAAGGACCTGAAGCCCTTGTCTCAAAAGCTAACACTGCCAGAGGCACAGGGAACTCTGCGAGCCCACTGGTGCCAAGATCCTTGTTTTCACTTTTGCACTAGTGTAAAAGTGCACCTTTGAACATACAGAAACAGCATAGAAATTTAAAATAAAATGGCCTCGTTTTTTACCTCGAAGTAGAGACACTGAGCAATTTCTCTTGAGATTTCACCTAAACACTGTTTTAGTGCTCAAAGGAGTTGAACCAGTCAGATTAATCTATCTGAAAACACCACGTAGCAATAATAGAATAGCAACACTATTTTTCACATATTAGTCCATGTGTAGGTTCAGGATAAAGAAAACTGTGAAATAAATAAGTCCATATAGCTAAAAAAAATAGTATCACCAAATAATAAAAACAACATTAATGGTAACTGTTTAACAACAAACAGAAAGCAAAACATGACCAAGTTAAAACTGGTAACCAGTCTACATTGCTATACCTTTTTTTTTTTCTATTAACATAAATATAATCAGAAAACTGAAGATACTGACACTTTTGCGATAAAAATGTTACCCTAGAATTTACTTGGTTCTAACTGCTAAGCTTTCTAAGAGATTTCTGCTGTTACCCACACCACGGGTCAGTTGACTGACTCTCAATTTAGTCATCTGAAACTTTCATTCAATACCATATACGTAACTGATGCTCATATATTTTCTTAACAGTGTGATTTGAGAGTGGTTTTGCTCTTTGCAAGTTTCTGTTTCCTTCAGTTAAATACTACTCTACACCAAGCACAGCTGAGCAGCTAACTTGCAGTAATGTTCCAGGAAATTTGACGCGTTATGTCATCTGTCCCACAGGAGTGAAACAGCACTGCCAAGTGACACTCACTGAATAAACTATGGAACATGATCTGATTTTTTAAATGTAATTGCTTCCTACATAAATGGAGAAATCAGGAATTCCCCAACAATGTGGAAAATTTTGCAGTCCTCAGATAACCTAGTACTTAATACTGCTAAGTGGAAACATTCTGTTCTGAGCCCTGATTTTGCCAGGTGCGAAACACCCGTTTTGTAGCTGCGGTAAGAAATGGTTGAGGTGGTTCACAACCTCATCAGAGGTCTTCAGGGATGGAATACAGACCAGATACCTTTTAAAATGGAGATGACCTAAGGGAAAAATAAGTATGGTACAAACACTAAAATACAGTCTATTTTTTTTCCTGACAGCCACATACCACGCTGCAGTTTCATGCCTTCCAGCTTCTCTGGGTTTGTCACAGACTTCATATTATTGAAAACTTCTTACAGCAATGTGAGAGTGCTTAAAATGATTTGATAGTGCTATATTTTATGAACTTCATCTGCATAAAGGAGTTAGAACTTGGTGGTCTGCCGCTATTGGGCAAACAAGCTAGATACCCATTACTAAAACCAACATCTTGCCTATATCAAACTTTTTAGGCAACTTGAAGAGCAACTACTTTTTATACTGCTCCGAGATTGTTCCAATTGCAATTTCTGGAGTGAAGTGCAGCTGCAGAAGCCTCCGGCTTCACCACAAAGAGCTACAGGTCCTTTGACCCTCTGCTCTAATTTCAGAACACAGACAATGCCACACAAACCCTTGATGAAGGAAAAGACAGAGGAGTAGCAGCATGGCTGTTTTGATGCTCTGATTCCAGAAACTAGGTGAAATGAAAAAAAATGAGCTCTAATGAAGGAAACAGAGTATCCAACTGCATCATTCTTCACAGCTTGTTCCTACATTCAGTAGTTTGGAGAAGAGATTTCTTGTAGTTTGTACCACTGTTCAAACGATGGCACTCCCCTACCCACCAGACTCCCGAGATCAAATATTCACAATCCTCAGAGAGATGCACGTGCAGCGCTATTTGCAGTCTTCCAATATGGCTCCTTAATAGAAATGCAAAGACCTGTGACACAGCAGCATTTATTAAGTCATTTGCTACTAGATGAAACGTTGTCATTGAGTGATGCAATTGTCCCCCATGTCCTGAGCGTAACGGTCCGACATTATAGTCCTTAATTCATCAATATCCTTTCGCAACTGACAAACATCCAGGAGCTTCTTCGAAAGGGTTTCTGTGCTGTGGTAATTTTCATTCTCTTCAGCTGAAGAGCTCAGTGCTATGAAAAACAACAGCCAAGGTTAAAGCTCTGGCAACTGCACTTTGTGAACATTTCAACCCTTGAAATAAGTGGTAGGTCACTTGAACTACATCAAGAGAAATCATGCTTTAGTATGATGAAAAGACAAGAAAACGTGGTACTGCCAGAACTTAAAAGTCAATTCAGAGCTCACCAGTGCTTCTCTGAAAGACACACTTTGCTGTTTGCACCAAGACCTAGCCTTGCTAAAGGTTCATGGATCTCAACAGCAGGGAAGAAAATGGGTACAACTGCCATTGCCTAAACATTTTGGAGGTTTCTATAGCCACTCAGAGAAGGATAGGAGGGCTTGGGAAAGGAGACCATAAACTGCTGGCTGATGATGGTCTCAAGGACTCTGAGACCAGCACATGCTGCCTTCCCCAGCACTTCAGGGGGTTACGGTGCAGATGACTCTAAGTGGCACGTAGCAGCTCTTGCTGCACAGGACACTTTACTCTCACCTTCCTACCTTACTGATGGTCCAGTTCAGCAATCAATCTGCATGATTAATTCTAATTAACAGTCAGAAAACAATATAATATGATACATTCAGGTCAAAAAAATGTACTTGCTTATTAAGCTTGTTAAAAGAAAAGACCTAACACCAATATTGGGTCCAT